GTACATAGATGAAAGAAAATATTTACAGCTATATGCATTCATATATAGTCACTCAAAAACATGTGTATACCAACTGTCCGCGTGGGCTTCGTGGTTGTGTCCTGCGTGCACTCGCAATCAAAGTAGTGAGCATTTCTTGAGCAGTATCTACCACAATATTGAAGTACACACATATCAAAAGCTAGCTGATCAGCTCAATAAGCACTCCTACTCTGCAATACATACAGTATCAATAAGCGCACCTTCTAAACATAAGCACCAAACACACCACACACTCGTAGTGTTAATGTGTGTACCGTACCTTTTTCAGGTCCACAGCGTTCTCTGGCGAAACCACACCCGCTTTCTCAAACGCCTGTCGCAGCTCCTCCTCGATTGTTGCCACACCCGCATTGCTGTATGTACGGTGTGTTCTTAGACGGATTAGCTTAGCATAGTTCAGCTCTATATGGCACTGTAAACTAACATAGGGGCCTACAGTATTATACAGGGTATTAGCCGGATCACGCCATCCGGTTATATACTGATGTGTATGTGTGTGTGTATGTGTGTGGGACTGTGTGCTTCCCATCGGTTTGCTACACGGGTCAATATACACCCAACTCGATGGGGGCCACATAGGCTGCCGTGAAGGTGTGCCGTGCAGGTGTGCCGTGTGGTGATACGTGTACGAACCCTACTATGGAGGGGTACTTCTGTTGGCCTACGATTGGCTGCTAAAATCATTATAGTGACTTTAGCCGGCTTCGCCTGGCGGATTGCGTTTGTGTATTGTCATGGATATGACTGTCTCTGGTGTGCATCGTCATATACCGGTGAACAGCACGCTACATGGGAAGAACACACGCAGATATGGTGGCCAAGCAAGCTGCAACCGCAATTCTATGCTGTTGGCACTGGGCATCTCATACCCTCTGATATAAATATGTGGAGTCCTCACACTCAGGTCAGGTCCATGCGTAAGTAGACAAGTGTCATGATCACATAAGCATGCCCATACACCCGACTTCAGGCCCAAGTGATCATCAAGAGTCTGATTGTGGAGCACCCGTACTTGCTGGTATATATACATATATACTTACATACCTACGTATATACAAGCAAAAGTGTGTGTGTGTGTACACCGTGTATCTCTAGTAATCCTACACAAGTTTACAAGCACCTACATTTGCATGCCGTAGTATCCAGTGCCGCAGTAGGACAGTAGAAATGCGACCTTGCGCTTAGGCTTTCTGGGCACAGCCACCTCTCCCTCGGCCAGCTCTTTAGGTTTGCGCTGATTCTCACCTCTGTGATCTCTGCGCTCGTACTCTCTGGCTGCCACTGCCTGTGTTCGATACGACGGTACAGGTTGTGAGATGTCGAATAGGGAAACGAGCGGGGCTATACACGGATATAGTTTCCATATGAAGCTGACAAATTCAAATATAACAATAGTGTCCCTACAGTGTACTGGTGCAGCTCAGACACACCGGTACATCCCCCCAGCGCACCCCTCACAAGAGTCCTCAACCACAACGTGAACCCATACCCACAACTTCACCCTAAATAATAGACGTACTGAATGGAACCCTATAAATGTCCAGCCCATCACCGGGGTGCTATAGGCGCACATTGCCTGGGGAAAAGGCCTCTATGTGTCATCTCTATACCTGGGTCACTACATACCTCTCTATTACGCGATCCGTGCTTCTCATTAGAGTACTGGCTGTGCGTCTTGCCATCCCTTCCCCCTCGACCGCCCCGGGTGTTCTTGTTGTCTCGCCCGTTCTTATACTTGTCCTTGCGTTCGGCTCGTTTGTCCTTGCCACTCTTGTCTTCGGCGACCCCGGTGCCATCAGAACTCTCTGTAGGTGGTGTGACATCCTTATTCTCTGTGTTGCTGTCTTTTTCAGTTGTAGTGTCTGCTGCTTTGACGCTATCGGAAGCCGTATCTCCGCCAGAAACTGCAAGTACAAGGGTTTCGCTACGAGTTTATAACAGCAGCACAGACAACCTTGTACTAAACAAAAAACATAGGCATGCAATAGTACAGGCACATATACAGCTCCATAATTTATATCAAAATAGATATACAAGACTATCTGACGGCACAGATCGATACTTGCTCAGATCATAACTCGACCATACAGTCAGCTCATCCATTGCAATCATTCGTGTATGGCGCAACCGGATCGTAAGTCACCACAAAGGTGATTGATTCTTACGCACCAGCACAAAGTGTTCAGCTCTCTCATGCACGAGAAGAAGGCCGGTATGCATTATACATACGTTGACCGGTGCCACCTAAACACCTACGATCAGCTAACGAGCCTATTACACAAATACATATATATAGACGCATATATAGATATAAATATGTAATTCTAAGAACATTTGGATATATGCGTACAATACATACATAC